CTCGTAATATTATGACTTTATTCTCATAATATTATGACTTAATTGTCGTAATACTATGACTTTATTCTTGTAATATTTCAAGTAATATTATGGATTTATTCTAGTAATACTATGACTTTATTCTTGTACGACTTTATTCTCATAGTATTACGGATTTCTTCTCGTAATATTATGAATTCTCATAATATTATGACTTTATTCTTGTAATATTTCAACTTTATTCTCGTAATATTATGGATTTATTCTAGTAATACTATGACTTTATTCTTGTACGACTTTATTCTCGTAGTATTACGGATTTATTCTCGTAATTTTATGACTTTTTTCTCGTAATGTTTTTTTCTTAGCATGGTCCTAATACTCCGTTGTACTACTGAGCCAATGAGAGGTATTGATGGCTTTAAGGAGGGGAGGGGGCAGCCAATGATCCAGTGTGTGGTGTTCACCACCCCCTGAAGATTACGGGGTCTGCCTCAGCGCAGTGAGGACACCACACTGCAGTGGGTCAAAACACTCGAGATGGAAGCACGGTAGATGTTCTCCATGAACTTCTCTGCCACGTCATTCCTCCCGAGCACCCTCAGGAAGGGATGACACTTAGAATGAAAGGTTTGAATTTATTATATTTGTGCTTTAAAAATTAAAGTCAAACTCTAGCTCATGTGTTTCAACCTCTTACAAGAGGTTCACAAACGGACAAGTCCACAAATAATTCATTTAGTTTTTATTGTTTTGCCCAAATTCAACTTCAACAAATTCCTGGGCATGTATCTGCTACAGAAGCTTTGTCCCAAACTGTTAGCCTGTAAATCTGTTCAAAGGAAAACAAATGATTCTATAGAGATGACATAATTTATTCCCAAACAGTAAATAATTCATTTTAAAATACAGACGTTAGCTGCGACCACAGTAAATCCACGTTCTGCGGTTTATTGTCATTGATGTGAATAATGCCGGATTACACTGCGTTCTGTTCAGTGATAAATAACTGTGAATCCATATATCTGTGGATGAGGTTCATCTCGCTGTCCTGAGATATGAATGAATCTACATTTTCAATGAGCAAAAACGGACAAAAGAGCCGGGTGGTGCAGGGTGAACTCGTCATCCTTACTCCACGTCCTGCCCACATTTTGTCCTGTTCTCCAGTCACAATCGGCGTAAGCATTCTGCTCGTCTACAATTTCCGATGACGTATAAATTCCTGAAAATAGGAGCCTCTTCATGGAAATTCACGCTCCTAAAATGCAATGGGTTGTGTATTTATGCACCAGTTTGTATTAAACACCACCCAGCTTTGCTAATTAGGGTTAAGTGAAGTCCATGACTGACTCTGAAGAAAATCGCTCCAACAGACTGAGATGAATATTTAAATTGAAAAAAATTCTCAGTGAGCACTGACATGACATTTGAACGTGCTAATTAGCACTTTTTTATGTTTGGGTTCTGTGTGTGTGTGTGTGTGTGTGTGT